TGGATGTTATATTCGTTATCAGGACCTCAAATAACCCCTAAACGTAAGTTTTCAGCAAATTTGGTGAAAACACCCTTGGCGCCAAATGGCGCCAGCGCCAAAAATGAAGGTCATATTCGTTATCGGGGCATCGGATTACCCCTATAGGCGAAGTTTCATCGAAAATTAAAATTTTGAATTTGGGGTTGTAATAGTGGAATAGTACCCAATTATCGAGTTCGTGTCTAGGTTCGTACAGACTCATACGCGGCGAACCCACGGCAGTAGCTTGGCCGCTTCTGGGTGCGCTTCGCTCCGCGCGCCCATCAAAACTAGGTCCCTAGTTTCAGCTCGCGATTTTTGACAGTCGTCGCAGTTGTCAGTGGGGCATACGATTGGCTCTCGGTCCACGGCAGTCAGCCTAAAGAGAAGATAAGACGGACCAAAGCTAATCATTTTCGACGGACGCAAGGAACGGTTCTAAGTACAAATGATGTGATTATCATACAATTGCAATCACGATCACTCAAGACTGACACATACGCTGCGCGCCGAAAAATTGGTGACAAAATAATTGTGGCACAGAAACTGCAATTCAAATCTTATCTTCACCTCTTTCATTTAGACCCAAGGCTCCTGTCAAGGTGGCGCAGTCACATCAACTGACGCAGACCTGAGCCTAGGGGAAATGCTTCCCACAAATGGTTTAGGCTTGGAGTTTTACATAGACATTGATACTCTCGAGTAATTTCGAACAATTATGAGCTGCTCCAGTTCCGGAATAATTCGAAATAGCTTGAAGTGGCTTCGTTTACCTTGGAAACCGAAGAAGGACCACGAAGATGAGGAAAGAACTCTTTAAAGTTTTGTTCGCTCGAAAGGCACTTTCCAAAATTGAAAAAGTTTGCTCACATACTCCTAGAAAAGAGTACCAAATGCATGGATGTTCTCTACTTTGTTTGCCAAGGTTCAACATTTATCCCCGTTCCCCAGGGACCAGAAAACAGGGATCGATTTCGTCATGAACCCTGCCTCTGAAAATAATTAGCCTCCGGGCGAAGTGCAAACTTCTCGTAAGAACTGAAGGACTGAGGAATTAATCATAATGGGAGCGGCCTTCACAGCCTAAAGGATTACTGGATGAGTTGCGGGGCTTCTGGTCTGCGCGTCTCCCCTTTAACGACCTCTTTGGGCGGATAAGTGAAATGCATGACAAAAATAGGCACGAGCTCATTCAACACATTTCTCTTGCAAATTATCAAAACCCGCTAGTGATTTTAGGGAGATTGAAGGCACAGTTCACGATAATGATGAAAAATGGAAGATAAGATGGAAGATAGTACGATGAATGCGAAGAAACTAAGTGAATTGGTGCTTAAAAGTGAAAAAAAGGCTTCGAAAATTTCTTAAGAAAAAGCTGGACGAGAATGAAACCAGAAAAGAAGAAGAATGGGGCGATTGGACGGCTACACAATGTATGTCACTGCTGACGTGAGGGTCTTGGTGCGAATAACTGACTATGTTAAGCAGAAGTTCACTCACTCACAAGCATAACTTATGAAAAAAAACCCTAGTAACAATTAAAATAGCCCTCCTTTTCAGCCTATTGGGGTAGAAAAATACATAAGGGCTCACAGCAGCAAAAAGAATAACAGAGAACAAAAGAACAGGAGTAAAACACTGCCTCATTACTCGGTGATCAATTGATTGTGTGTGGGTCCTAGAACGAATATTGCAATCTGTATCACCTCGATACTCGTCCCACGCGATATCGATCGAGGGCGTTAATGCCAGGCGATCCTGTAACGGGGCTCTTACTATGTCCTAGCTGTTGAGTTTTGGGACTTGACAGCGTCCTTCCTGTTACCTTTGGGAGCCACTAGGTATTCCGAGGGGAAGAACTCAGACACCATTTTTATGTGAACTGTGCCTTCAAGGAGAGCTGTGCTGGTCATGCAACTTTGTACCCGCCATTGGGCGGGCAGCTATCGAATCTGTTCGTTGGGCATACTCCTTCTTGACAATCAATGTTAAATTAAACGTGCGTCTATTTGCCCTATGGACCGGGATTGACAGGCAGGGAGGACTGTCCGAGGGGCTTCCGTGTTTCCATAAACCAAGTAGACGTATGCTGCTAGCTGCTGAATCAACTCGACAAACAATGGAAGAAGCTCTATTGTCTAGAGGCAGGTATGGTAGAATCTTCACAGACTTGTTTAACATTTGAGTTGAAATAAGATTTTACAGGGATCCTCGAACCTTACCATTTCAATGAATTCCGTTAAACAGCCAATGGTAAGTATGAAATTGACTTCTGACCGGTGAATCGGACATTTTTCCTCTGACCAAGGTTAACTAAAAAGTAACTCTGATCAGCCTGGTACACGGACTCTACAGATCTAGAAGGAAGGCAGGCAAAAACCGCCGAAACGTCAGCCGACTTAGTTGTATTACTCAACCTCGTGATCCGTTTAATAGAATAAAGCTGTATTGGAACTATGCCGAGGTTCATTGAGAGTCGAACATGGTAACTAAAAGTATTTTAAAATTAGAAAATATCTTGGACAATATGCAGTAAACAAAGATTTCGAAGAGAAGACCAGCCTGATCCTTCATGATTCTTTCTCTTCATTAGAGTCTTGCATTACAGCCCTAAAAGGGTGTAGTTGTAAACATCACACTCCATTTTCTCAACACTGCAAGTCCTCATTTGGCTTTACCTCCTCACTGATGAGTTTCCTGTACCCGCTTCCTTGTGGTCGGCAAAAACCTGTGGGAGGGCGTGTACACCGGCAACTCATGACGTTCGCGCGGTACATACAGTGACGTATTTCCCGTGAACTTTCAGTATAAAAATCGAAATACCGTATAATGTTAGTTATTTTGTGAAAATTCCTTCATACCTTTTTCCTGGAAAGAAATTTTGGCCACTCAGATCCTTGAGAAGCGAGAAGCAGAATGCTGCAAAGGTCATATTTAATGGGATTAATCCGAATTTAATAAGACCGAGGTAATTTCGTCCACGAAATTGAGCTGACCATTTTCGGATTCTAAGTCCATTTCTTTTAAGACCTGCATTTCATTTCATTTTCTTGAGTCCATTTCATCTGTGTCTTTTCATGGGACATCGCTTTTATGTATGATTTCCTGAAAGTCTCCTACAAAACGTTGCTCTTCAAGACCTAGAATTTTTAAGTGAAAAATTACTCAAATACTCGATTAGTCACTGTTATCACCTTAGTAAGGAGTACCTGGTCCACCATGAGTTGATATTCGCAGACGGATTCACAGATAACAGCTAATTTACCTTGGCAGTTCGATATGGACGTGGCAGAATAACGCAACCATTTGGCTACATTCACGGAATATTTTGTAGAAGTATACTAAAATTATAATTTTCTAAAGTTTAGGATATTTTTGCTACTTGTCAAAATTTTTATATGTAAAAGTCTTTAAATATTTAGCATATTGGCCACTGACTCATAGAACATTTTTTAATTGTTGTTATCAGAAAGGGCGTAAGGATTCTTTAAATTTCATGCAGTAAGACTTTATCTATGGATTTTTCCTGAGCTGCCATAAAGCAAAAGTCCCGAATGCTTAAATTTTTAGTTCCGCAACCTGCTTTCGTCTCGTCATCTGTAGAAGAAGAGCTTTTTTGGCTAACTCTCCAAATACATAAACCACCAAACGGCCTCTCGTTCAGATATGAAAAGCTTTCTGAACAGTGGGATACACCTTCTGTTCTATTGCCTAAAGAATGTGTTCGATCGAAATGAATAATTAGAAATATGGAAGTTATTCTTGTGGTCTCTCGCTTATGAAATATTAGGTTGATGCATAATTATTGCGGATTTTTTCGCGGCTTTTTTTCTCCTGATAGAATTTGTGTACTGAGTTTGAGTCTTTTCCAGAAA